TCTTTTGCCTTATCCTGCATCTTCCTGCATCCCAACAGCTCCAGTCCAGGTCTTTCCTCAGCTTGTCACCAGCAGTGACCAGACCTAGACAACCCCTGCCATGAGACTCTTGAAATCAAACTCCACAGCTCTTTAGGGCTATGATCACAGCCACACGGAAAACCATAGGTAGGAGCAAAGGCCCCAGTACCCAGTGCAGAAGCCATCATCCCTGCCATGTAGCCAAAATGCAGCATCCAACTGCAACTCCAAAGCAGGGCCCTGGCCTAAAGATAGGGAAGAGGTCTAGGCTAGGGCAGAATGCAGAAGGCCAGCTTTGGAGCAAGGAAACACATGCTGTGGGTGCAGGGAGTGGGCCCTGGCATCCCTGCCAGAGTGCTCAGTTTCCACAACACCGCCACTGGGGCTGCACTTCCCAGCTTTGTTGGGTACACACACACACACACACACACACACACAGGTACGTGTGGTTTAGGGCTGTTTGTAAATGCCCACCTGAAGACACAAAACTAACTATCTGGTACTTTGGGCCCCAGGAAACTGGGAGAGGGAAGAAAGGAAAAGTAGCCAAGTGATCTAGACTTGGGCAGGCAGAAGTGGAGCAGGGTCCAGGGGGAAGGGCCCCGAGTAACCCGGGGAGGCTGGCTGAGGACTGAGACTGGCCAGCGTCTCCTGCCTTCAGCTGGAAGGATTTCAATTTCAGAGTTGCAAGGGGCCCTGCTGATTTCACAAGTGAAAAAGATGATTTCAGTGATTCCCAAGGCCCCAGTGCTTGGTCTCTCCGTTTGGCAAAGCGCACTGGCACCATAACCTCCTGGCAGTGTAGGGGCACGGGCAGAGCAGCCAGTGTGCAGACAGAGAGGGCAGTCCCTGTGGCCCAGGTGAACAGCGTGGCCATTCCCCCACATCCCTGGGTTGGCTGCTATTGCCTGTCTGCCCCGAGGCCCAGCAGTCCTTCTATTTCCAGACTCCTGAAGAAGCGGTCCCCAGGTTGGGGCCTCTCGTGGGTACTGCCAGCTTTAGAGTAGACCACAGCTTCCAGCCCTGACAGGGACTCTTTCTTATATAAGTGGTCATGTGCTAGGGGTAAGGATGTCAAAGGAGGCCCACTCCCGGACACGCGGGGACTGGAGCCGGGTGGGTTTAGGCAGCAAGCTCCTCTACCTCCTCCTCAGGAGGGTCGGATCGGAAGCCGTCCGTTCCCTCCCCCCGCCCTCGGTGCAAGGCGCTGGACCAAGTCACTCCACTTCTTCACCTCTCCAACTAAAACAAAACGCACATCGCCCCACTTCCTTTTTCCTCTCATCAGAGCGCGCACACACACACACACACACACACCCCGAGTCATGCACATGCACGCTCGCACAGCCCGGTGAATGCACACCTCACATTCCCAAACTCACACCCGGCCTGGCTCCTTTTACAACAGGTCCCGGCTGCTCACATCTCAAACCGGTTCTCATGCTCTCAGATTGCAGAAGGTTCCAGCAAACAGTCTCATCTGAGGGTTGCTGATGGCTTGCTTCTTCCTCTGCCTGCAGTGTTTCTGGCCTCAGTGTCCCTCTCGCATTCCACCCTGCAGAGACTCCAGGTGACGGGAGGCGAGGGGTGGCGGACAGGGAAACATCTCTGTGCCTGCCCCTTCCCACCCCCCAGGCCGGTCACTGAGAAAAGAGAGGTCAAAGGGATTCCTGAGGAATGTTCAAGCAGTCCGCCCGCTTCTGGAAAAAATGGGCTTGGGGGGAACTGGTTAAAGATTGCTCCGAAGGCAAGTCAGCGCCTCTGCTCTCTCCCTTTCTCATCCTCCTGCATGGCCTGGAGGGGGCACGGGCACCAGCCAGCTGCCCGCACAACCACCTCACCCGCTGACACGGTTATGGTTTTCATTTCATATTTTGGAGGGAGGGGCTAGGAGGAACAGTCCCCTCACTGTACAGGCTGGCCACAGGAGCCGAGGGAAGCGGGAGGAGAGGCAGGAGCCACATTAAAGAGGAAGAGAGGGGCGGGGGAAGAAAGAGAGACACATACACCCAGACAGAGACGCGGAGAGACGCACCAAGACAGAGAGACACTGTTCCCCGTCAGATGAACGCTCAGTCCCAGGGACGGCGTTACTTGCAAAATCTAAATACCTGACTTTATCAAAACTCCATCCCGAGCGAAGAGAGAAAACTGCCAGGTAAACAAAACAGCCAAGTTGACTCTTGGGAGCTCACCCCAGGACAAGTTTCCCTGGAGGCCTGAGACCTTTTCATTCAGCTGTAACCTGAGCCCTGCGCAAGGATTAGGTCTTTTAAACCACTGCTGCCCACCCCCCTCCCCAAGAAAAAGCAAAGCAAATTAATGCTTTTAAGTTAACAATTATCTTGGTTATCCAGTCTGTCTACCTTAAGATACACAGACAGGCACTTGAAAAACACTCAGAACCGTGTACCCTCAGCTCCCTCCCTCCCAGGGCCACGGCTGCCCGGCCCCTGAGTCTCACAGGGGGAACAACGGCAGTGGCTCTTAAGTCGCAGTCCCCACCGCTGCCCAGCTCTGTCCCATGTGGGTGATTGTGGTGAGCCTCACATTCCCACCCCCCCACGCGCTCCCACACGTACACTGCACTTTACACTTGGGTGGGGCTCATCTCCTCGCCCCCCTGCCCCACTCCACAGGACTTTGGCTTTCTTGGTGTGTGGCTCTGTGATGCAAAGGGACAGAGACACAGATATCCCCAAAGGTACAGTAACTCCATGCAAGATAGGTGCCAAGAGTATCTGTATTTTAAAGAGCTGCTTGAGCTTTGTTTAAAAGCATGTGGCATTAAAGACAAACTTTCTGGCACTGATAGTACTGGGATGGGATGATACATTTAGGGGCGTGGGAGGCCTCCCCAGAGCCCCCAGCACCCTCTCTGTGGGTAGGACCATAAGGCTGCCCTGACCAAACAGTGCTTGTCCTTTCCGAGGCAGTGCCTGCAAATCTGGGTCCAGAGACAACTTTCTAATTCACAAACCTGTTGTTAGGCAACTTCTGGCGGGCAGGGTTTATAGATTTCCTGAATAGCAGGGTCAATGAGAGGCTTCCATTCTGTGCCAAGCTAGACTCAGGAATAGGAAGGAAGGGAGGGAGGAGGGAGGGAGGGAGAAAGAAAGATACCAAACTCACTGCAGCCCAGTCAGAGCAGGTGTGGCCCATGAGTGAACAAAACCCTTACTCTGTAAGTTCCTCCAAGGTAGGGGTCTCCCCTCCAGCTGCCTTTCCCCCAGGACCCAATGGGGTATCCCATGAAAGAGGGAGCCCTGGAGTACCCCAGTGGGATTCTGAGTCCTCCTGTCCCCGGAAGATGGGCTGATCTCCCAGGCTGGAGAGCCTTGGCTTGATGGCACCTGTCCCTTTTAGGGGTCTCCATCTGCTTCTCCTTTGGCCCCCCGGCACCCTCCCCCAGTCTCCTTAGGCCACTACAGACACTGGCTCCAACTTGAAAGAGCCCCTTATCTAGTCTTTAGATTACTGCATGAAATCTGTTCCTTCAGACTAAACTCCCTAGCTAATTCCATGTTATGAGTAAGTCAGCACGCACTACAAAAGCCAGCTTTGTTTATGAAAACACAAGCAAATCCACAGTGGGGAGAGGGGCTGCTCCAGGCTGGGGGCGGTGGCGTAGCAGTGGGCTGTCTGGAACCAGGACTAAAGAAGAGGCAGTTTGGGGCTGGGAGCGGGAGGAGGTGGGGTCTGGTACTTGACAGCTGAGGGTCTCTAGTGTTTCCTTCTGTTAAAGGACAGGTTGGAGGGGGGAGGGGTCCTCGGCGAGGTGGAGTCTGGGGAGAGGAGGGTGGTGCTGATGGAGCCATCCTATTCAGAATGAAGCACATCTCCTACGGAGCAGCTCAGGAGCCAGGTGTGCTCAAGGCCCCAGGACACAGCAACCCTACTGCCAGACACTCAGCCTTCCTCAACTCCCAAGTTCAACTTTCCTTTTGGTCCTGCCACCTCCTCACCCTGGCTGGCTTCAGGAGCCCCGGGGGACAATAGGCAGAAGCATAACCTCCCTCACAAAACCTTGCTGGGAGGAATTTTCTTTCTGTTCATATAAATCTCTTCAGTTAGGACCCCACTGGGGGAGGGGTGCAGCAGGAGGTCAAGGGGGAGGAGGGGTTCTGGGGTCTGTCCCCAGAGAACTGTGGGACCCCAGCCTGGCTTCCTAGTACAGCCGTGGGTCGGGCCAGGCGATGAGCTGGGGGTCAGGGACTGGGGTGGGAGGGCCTCCCAGTCTCCCTCTGATTCCTAGAGGGATCTGTCGGAGCTCTCCAGCCTGGAATTTTACTTTGTTATTTTAATGCAATACTGACCTGGATTTAAATGGAATTGGAAACCCGAGGACTTAATAAATAAATATTATGATAAGAAATGAAAGCCATGCAAGACGAAAGAGATTTCCCCCCAAAAGGCAGAAACGCAACATTCCTGCTAGAAGCCAGTCACAGCAATTTTCTTCTCTTCTTCAGCCCCCTACCATCCGGTGAGAGACGAGTCGGTTTTTCCGTAAGGAATTCTATTTTTCTTTAACACGTTTCCACTGATAAGACAGCACCGTGGAAATTCTGTCTCTGAACTTTGCATGCAGGGTGGGGATCTACAGCACAGCTGAAAAGTTTTCATTCCCGCAGCCTCTCCAGGCCACAACTTTAAGTGTCTGGCAACGTCTGAGAGAAGAGAGGATTCCCTCAGACTTCAGAGGACAAAAAGTCTTTCGAAGATGCTAGGGGTGGCAGCGAAGTCTGGCGGAGTTCTGAAGTGCATGGTCACTTCTGCCCACCGCCAAAACGTCCCACTCATCCCCTCCGCGGCAGGCTCCTCCAGCTCTGCGCCCCGGGCGCGGCGCCCCGGGGTCGGGGCCCCCGCTGGGGACCCCGGGGACACCAAGCCGGGTCCTGACAGCAGCCGGCTTCCCAGCACCTGCCCTGCCCTTCCCCTCGGCAGGGGCCGGCTGCCCCGGCAGCCTCCCACCTTACCTTGCGCAGCTTTGCCGTGCTGGGCGGCGCGGGCGTGGACCAGTAGGACGAGCAGGCACAGCCCGGGCACGCGCCCCGAGCCCATGGCTGGAGCTCCGCGCGGCGGCTCCGCCGGTGCCGTCTCGAAGCCCCAGGAGGGCGGAAGCCGGCGGGCCCCCGGTGC